TATTATTACTATGTTTTATTTTTTCGCTCAACGGAAATAATTATTATTTCTTCGCTCAAAGATAAAAACTATTATTGAGTTTAGTTTTTCCTCTTAAAAATAATGATTATTTATAAAATTTAAGAGTGCATAACATAACATTCCAATATAAATTAATATTTTTAATCTTAATGGGTTAAACCCGAAAGATGAAAATCATTGTAAATTACAGAAGGACATATGAACATAAATAATTTTAAAAAGTTCCGAATAATCCCCAGAAGTCAAAAAAATTTAACAGGAAAGCTCCAAAAAAATCGAAAAGGAATGCCGAAGGATTCCGAAATGTAGCAAAAACACTCGAAAAAAACAATCTCAAACACTCCAAAAAAATTGAAAAAATTAAACAAAGCCAAGCAAAATTCCATAAAGGCTAGACAAATTTCTGACAAGTATATTGCGAGGAGTCCACTTCAATGTTTTTTTTTCACTACTGACTACGCTTACTATCAAATTCTTTAGCAAAAATATTACTTTTCAAGTCTGATCGAGAGAAGACATTTCTTAAGCTTATTCTAAGTAATAATTCCAATTAAATACATATCATCAAACTATACACTTATGCGAGTACATAGTTATTTACTACTGTATTAAAAAATAAAAACTAATTTGAATTTCATTTATTTCTCCTTTCACAGGCGCCGTAGGTGGTGATGGCGGCGATGATGGCGATGATAAGGAAAAGGCAGAGGAGGAGGAGAGGGAGCGTCTGGAGGCCATACGTGAGGCCGAAGAGCGACGAAAGGAGAAGCACCGTAAGATGGAAGAGGAGCGTGAAAAGATGAGGCAAGATATTCGTGATAAGGTAAGTGAGAATGGAAAATTATCCACTACAGAATTAATAGATTAACTAAAATAGAATAAAAAGGTTACAATCAGCATAGTCTTAAATACTTAAGAAATTTCTCGATAATGAAAAATTGACGAAAATAAAAGGTTAAATTGTTTCTTCCTGTGGGACCCATCGATCTGGGTGTAGTCCTTGATTACATTCAGGCATTGCTAAACTGCGAAAAGTAGCGCTGGTAGCACCTTGTTTTCAATGGGAAAGAATATTTTAACATAGTAGATGGGGTAGATGCTAGAATTTATTGCCTGGAGCTGAACATCAGGCGGCCCATAGGGTTTCTCGAGCAGTGCATTAATTTTAAGGCGGAATTCTTTGTTCTGACGAAAGTCGCGGAGCAAGCTTCTTAAACAAAAATATTTAGAAACAGGTCCAAAGTAAACAGATGAGATACTTAGGAGCGCAATTATATTAACTATTACCTCTTAAGTATGTGCGTATGCACTAAAGAAAGCGATTCTATGAAAATCAGAGTTGGATGCAACGAGAGAGTTAGTAAGCCAGAGTAAAACAAGTAAGAACAGCGCTGTCTTCGGCTATGCCGAAGGCTTCATACCTTTCATGAGCATCTGAAAACTTTAATTTAACAGATTACTGCATTTGAAAAAATGTATATATTCACATATATTTAAAAAATCATATCTAAACAATCAGGGGTATGGAAGATATACCTTATATAGCACCAATCTAAGTGATTCCACTGCTGTGTGATCGGTATGTAAACCGGTAACACATTTTAATGGGTTTAGCTTCCTACATAAATGAGATATATTGCAAAAACTGGTATCTGAACAATCAGTGGTATAAGAGATAAAGTTTATACAGCATAGATTTTGACAATTTTCTCAGTAGACTTTGTATTACCATTTAAAAAATAGCTTACGAAATTTATCGGTTTTAGCTGTCCAAATAAAGAAGTTTACCAGTAAAACCCCATATCTGAACAGTCAGTTGTATGGAGGCAATAAATAGGTTATAGTGACCCGATCTTTGTTAATCTTACTGTAAACTTTCTGTTTATAATGAGTGAAAATAGTTTGAAATTTCATGCTTTTAGCTGCATAGATGGAGGAGTTAAAACAAAAAATCGCTTATCTGAACAATCAGTTGTATTGGAACTATATGTAAAAGTAACCCGATCTATGTTATTTTCACTGTAAGTATTCTGTTGATAATGGGTGGAAGTATTGCATAATTTCATGAGCCTAGCTGCATAAATGGAGGAGNAATTTCATGAGCCTAGCTGTATAAATGGAGGAGTTATAACGAAAATTCTCATAACTGAACAATCAGTTGTATGGGAGATATATGTTATAATGACCCGATCTTTGTTATTTTCACTGTAGGTATTCTGTTAAAACTGAGTGAAAAAGGTGCGAATTTTCATGTTCCTAGCTGCATAAATGGATAAGTTATGGCAAAAAACCTTATATCTGAACAATCACTTGTATGGAGGCTATAGGTTATAGCGACCCGATCTTCGCCATTTTCATTCATTTTCATTTCATTTCATGAAATTATTGGTNTGCAAAATTTCATGTACCTAGCTACTCAAATGGAGGAGTTATAACGAAAAATCGTATATCTGAACAATCAATTGTATGGGAGCTATAGGTTATAGTGACCCGATCTTTTTAATTTTCACTCTAAGTTTTCTGTTGATAATGGGTGGAAGTATTGCAAAATTTCATGTTCCTAGCTGTATAAATGGAGAAGTTATAACGAAAAATCTCATATCTGAACAATCAGTTGTATGGGAGCTATATCTTATAGTGGTCTGATTCTTCCGATTCCGACAAATGATTAATACATTATAAAAACACACGCACCTACCGAATTTCATCCGGATATCTCGAAAACTGAGAGACTAGATTGCATACAAACAGACGGACAGACGGACAGACGGACATGGCTAAATCGACTCAGCTCGACGTTCTGATCATTTAAGTATACATTTTAGTGGGTCTATCTCTTCTTATTCTGGTACTTACAAACATCGGACCAAAGTTATAATACCATTTCATGCTCATGAAAGGTATAAAAATGCAAAATATGTATGTATGTATGTTCAGATATAGGGAAAACTTTATAATTACCACCACCACATTTACTTTACTGACTCTGTACTATTTTTGTGGCTGCTAAAAAACGCTTGAACTGCGCGCGTCAAACTTCAACAAAACCACCAACAATACGTTCAATTTGCGGCACGGAAAGTTTAAGCAGCAATAGTTGTTGTGAAAACAGCGGGAGAAAAAAACGCAAAACTCCATGAAGCTATTAAGTGGTTTAGTGTTAAATAGAGTCAAAGTGTACTACTACATATGTATGTATGTATATAAGTAGTAACAGTCATATGTAAAAATGTATGCATGTATACATAAAAATCCCAGTCAAAAATAGGATCATCCAAAGATTAATCTCAGGTCGCCCATTTGCGAGCAATGGACAAATCTCGCAGCTTCGGGCATTTTATATCTGCTCCTTTTTAATATTGCATGCCCTTAGGGGCGAGCAAAGGAAGTTTTCTTTTGAGCTTACTTTGACCTCCGGAACAAAGACAAATAGAGTAAGTACTCTTCTTTACCTCCTTAGCTCGTTTATTACCTAAAAACGTATCGATAAGCGAGCAATCAATTTATTAAAATTTTTGGAAAAACTAAAAATTCCTTGATTGATAATTTATTTTGGTATTAATTCATACATTTTTTTACTGGGATATTGCGATATTAGTAAGTGAGCCACTGGTGTGTACGGACAGACTGCGCCTGCAGCTATGCAACACCACTCATCGCTACCACCGCTGCTTGCTTTTACTGCTAGTCGCCGCCATCATTACCATTTACTGCCATGTACGTGTATGCTGTTTTGTTTTTGTTCTTGCACTATTATTAGGCGGCGCCATCACAGCTGTTCGACGTGTTGTTTAACAACTTCCGACGACGCGCCAACGCAACCGCGCTACCACCGTTATACCCATCATCAGCGACAGTGGTTTACCACATTTTTACATACTTCAACCAGCACACACACTCCGCATATGTATACAGTGACTCAAACAAGTGACCACGTGCAGATTTTTTTTTTAATATTCATAGATTTTGGTCAGATAATTTTATTTTGTAATTTTTCTATAAAAATCCAAGCTTTAACCAAACCATATAAAGCAAAGTTTTAGTCATTATAAAAACTGTAGGAAAATTTAACAAATTTTCATCAAGATTTCAACTTTTCAATCTGGGTTCGCCGAACATTTATGGGTATGCAGTTTGATAGTCCATAGAATTTTAGTCTAATAAAGTGCAAGTTTCGACCGGTTAAAAATTCGTATTGATTTTTTAGAACTTTGTTTGGAGACTGCTTTTGGGGTTTTTTTTATATAATAAGTGCAATTTCCGCAAACTAGCGTTGAATTTTTGAAATTTTGTTGCCAACGGTCTCCGCATTTTATTTCAAAAGAAATTCATGCTTATATGGCAAAAAAAAATTACAAATTCGTCATAAAAAAAATTCCCAAAAATCAAAGGGATTTTTTAGCCGTTTCAAACCAACACTTTATTAGACTAAAATTGTATGGGCTATAAAACTGCATACCCAAAAATGTTCTAAGGATTCAGATTAAAAAGTTGAAATTTTGACGAGAATTTGTTGCATTTTCCTAAATTTTGCATAAAGTTTGAAACTGTGATGTAAATGTTTTTGGTTGAAGCTTGGACGGCACTTTTATAGATATATAAAAAAAATAAAAATTTAGCTGGAAAAGCATTACGAAATTTAAAAAAATCAACACGTGGTCATTTGTTTGACTCACTGTAAGTACGTATACATGCATTGTGAATTTTTGCACAGTCTAGGAGTTTGTGCTTATTATTTAGAACACTAACGATTTGTGCTTTAGATTTTTTTTGAAGCTTAAAGTTTGGATTGTTGTTTAGCGGACGGTGCAGCGCATAACATAACTGCAAATTGTTTGAAAACTTTGAGTATAGTAGCTTGTTCACCTGCATGACATATGTACAAAAATATTAAAGAAGGCTTGCTTGTCTGCATTAAATGTACTTTTGGTGCGTAAAAAAAAGATTGCCAAATATTCAGTTCGAATAAAATAACGGGTTGGATAAGAATCGAGATCCCCAAACTTTTAAGTCTTGTAGACCAGTAGCTAGGTTTTCCAGTTGTGTGTGGATTGACCTGAACTCGATTTCTTAGACAAATTTTGTGTATGCAGGTTTAGAGCCCACTCAAGTTTAGATAACGTTCAAGTTTGAAGTAGCCAGTACATACCGTTGAATTTTAAAAATTTCTTTTTAAATGAGCAACACCTGCAACAAAAAATGCCAAATATCAACCGTAAGTCCCAGATGATTTAAACTTGCACTGAAATTGAACGGGCTACCCAAAAATCTTTCTAAGAAATCTAATTAAAAAATTCGAAATTTTTACATAAAGGTGAGTTAAACAAAAAAGTGTTATAAAATATATTAAAATTCCAGTGGCTGATTTTAGCAGTCCAATTTTATTTTATTCAGTAGCTAATACTTTTCTAAGTAAACTCCAATAGGTTTAAAGGCAGCACTCGAAATGTTTAACAAAATATAAACAAAAAGGCACTCTCTTTGGAAAATTTCTGTTGCAGTATTGATATTCAGAAAATTTTTTATGTATTCTAACTACTTTCAGAAGTAGATTCCATTTGATTTTATTGGATTTCCTTTACTCAAAGTACTTTTACATTTCCCTTTGAATCTACAATAATGTTGTGCTTGAGCGTCCGTTACTGTGAACGGTTTTCGCTTCTTAGAGTATCCCTCTAGGCAACTCAATGAAGAAACAGCCCTGTATAGAAACTTTTTACTCGAATTTTAACGGCACTTTTGGATTTCCGCCGCACCGTGCGCCTGAAAGAAAAACTAAAAACGCAGTTTGACTATATTTGGCCCACACTTTTGTGAGTATAT